AAAAACTCAGGTGAGAGAGGGAATTCGTGTGCAGAGGTAGTTCTTACAATCCGTATTGGCAAAGGGATCAGGGGTTAAGCCTAGGGCTGAGGAAGCCAAACGAGGAAGGATTAGCAAGGGATTCTCAGAGAGGGGACCAGAGCTGGGCCCTGAAGCCTGAGAAGGGACGGGCGTTCAGGCAGCAGGCTCAGCAGACGCACGCACCTCCAAGAAGCTCCCACCTCTGAGTGGCGAGACTGGAACAGCCCAGAAGAATGATGCAAGAAGGCACAGGTGTCTGTCCTGTGCACACCTCTCCAGCCCCACTGCCCTTTCCTCTGTTCCTTGGACACCCCAAATCTGCCCATGCCTCTGAGCCTTTGCACTCGCGGTTCCCTTTCCTGGAAGAACCCTCAGCCCATCCCCAAACTGGCTCACTGTCAACCTTCAGGACTCCATCGAACACCCAGTCCAACTTTCCATTCCTCAGGTCCCCTTACCCTTGCCCCAACACACGTGCGCGTACACACACACACGCGCACGCACACGGAACTCTCCATCGGAGCACAGTTTCGTATTGTCTTCAAAATCCCACCACGTGAAATGACCTAGTCCCTGCACTCACCGCCTTCGCGTTGGCGTTGCCCACACAGCGTCAGTTCCATGAGGGCAGGCCTGCTGCCCCCGTTCGCCGCCCCACCGGGGCCCGGGGTTGCGTCCAGAGCAGGTGCTCGGTCAAGACTCGTCATGTGAAAATGCGTCGAGGGAAGGGGTCAAACCAAGTGCACTCAAGGGCTGGGAAGACAGCACCCCCGTGGAGCTCAGACACCTTCCCTGGCTGGGTCCCAGGATCCACCGGCTGGGCAGGGCCCTGCTGGCCCCAGTGGAAGGCGCTGGGCCGCCTGGTAGAATACCTAGCTCTGCTTTTAATCAATGGCAATCATTTAGCTGGAAGCGGCATGACTGGGCACACACAAGCAGGCAGCGTGAGCTAATCCTTTAAACACATCCGCTCAAGGCCGCTGGCCGCTTTGCCGCTTCGGGCCACGCAGGAAGCATTCCCTGCCGCCCCTCGGCATGTCACGGAGGGTGTCCAGAGTCCTGGGCACGAGGCAGCCCACCCGTGCCCCAGCCGGGCCCCGTCACCAAGGGCTGCGGGAGGCTACAAGTACCAGAGGTCAGAAGAGGCCTCTCGCTGGCTCTGGCCTCCCAGTGACAGCGCTCAGCAGGTCCCGAGGCACCAGCACCAGGAACTTGGGATCTTAGAAGGGCCTTGTCCTCACAACTGGACTGAATCCTCCTCCTCCTGAAGCCCGGCCCGAGCTGAGCTCACGCCCTCCGGCTCCGGCCCGGCCCCGGCCCGGCCCCTTCGGCTCCCAGCTTGGCCCTGCAGCACAGGCCTCAGGCCCCTGCGCTCCCACCTGGGCCCCCGCCAGAGGCTGCTCCGCGTCCCCCGCCGCCGCCGCGCGTGCTACCTGCTTGGCCCAACTACTAAAATAGCTTCTGGGTCCCCTGACATGGAGGCTTTTTCTAGTTCAGCACCGCAGGTCTCATTTCAATCCATTAGCTCAAATAAATGGCAGTTCCTGTGAACTTTGGAGGGTCTCTGTTGGCCTTGGTGGCCACGACAGTGTGGCTTTGCACGTAGCTCTGCCATATGCCAATGACCTTGGTTGGGCAAGCCACTCAGCCCTTGGGAGCGCCGGTCCCCACACCCATATGTGCAGATCAGAAACCCGACTCCATGGCCGTGTGGAGACCAGGCTGGCACCGGGAGGGACCTGTCCCGGCCAGCGGATGTTCCGTTTCTTGTCTGGTTTTGGAGGGTCCTGGCCCAGCAGGCCAGAGGCCAGCCGAACAGGCGCGCTTCCTCATGGCTCCCTTGGTGTCGGTGAAGAGAGGGGCGCAGCGAGCCTCTCGGGAAGGAGAGCAGGAGACGCCATCCGTGCCCAGTGTCTGCAGCCACAGAGGTGCCCGCGGGGATCCACAGAGAGTGGGGCCATGCGGGCAGAGCCGGCTCCCCACCGGGCCTGCTCACCCTCGGCAAGGAGTCCACCGGGCCCCAGGCCTTCAGCTGCGCAGGCCTGGGCAGGAGACCTCAGGCCCACGGACCCGGCGTTGGCGGACGCAGAGGTCTACAGAGCTCCCTCGCCCCCACGCAAACCCGCACACTGCTGTCCACGGAGCCCGGGCCCCGCAGAGGAAAGCAGGGTCCAGAGAGGAGCCTGGGGCCACCGCCCCCAGAAGCCTGTAGGAAGGGAGGCTCGCAGGCCTGGCCTCCGCCCTGCCCTCCCTGCCTCGCGCTCCACACAGAACCCCCGGTGGCTCGCGGCCTGGGGAGCTGCTCAGGCCCGGCGGGGGCCAGGCCCCGGCACTTGCCTGCCGGCCCAGTCCCAGCTGGATGATGACGACGACGTCCACGCCCGAAAAACCCTCCTCTCAAAAACCCAGACAACTGCTATCCGAGTTACTTAACGAAAGCCGTTATTTGCATAGATTTGGCGTTGCTACAACACTTCCACATTTAAGCGGTCTGTAATTAAAATCATTAATTGCAGAAAATAGGGACTCGTTAAGGCTATAATTTAGTGAGGTTCTCGGCATTCGGGGATCTGCCTCAGAGGTTGGCGGGGTGGCCCCGGAACCCACTGCTCCCAGGAAGCAGCAGCAGCCCAGGCGGGCGCAGGGGGAGCCGGATCAGGCCGGAGCTGCCGCTCCCCACGCTCCGCGCGAGCTGGGCTCTGGCGCCATGGCGCCGACGAGGCTCGGGGACGGCCGACGGGGAGCCGTGTCTGGGACAGGCCCAAAGCCACGGAGGAGAGCAGGCCCCGCTCCTGGCATCCGGGGCAACGCAAATCCCAGGCTTCAGTAAATCACAGCTTCAGTGCGCTCCTGGGTTTTTAAAGGAGGCCTGTCAGCTGGACTATAAAAAGCTCCAGGTGCCTGGGGACCCGGGGCCTATTTCGGTAGCTGGGCCAGGCAGGTAAGGCAGGTGGGAGGTGGGTGAGGCCGCGCACAGCCGGCGCACAGGCAAGGAGGCTCCCTGGACGACCCGCCAACCAGGCTCTGACACTGTGCCCCCTTTGGTCACATGACAGCTGGGGCAGTGTGCGGCCCCCTCCGCGTCCCCAGCCCAGACGGATGCGCCCAGTTTTGGATCGGTGGGCCCAGCTGGGGTCCTTGCCCTGCTGGCGGCCGTTCGGAAGTGGCAGCCCCCTCGGGGCCGGGGTCCGTGCCATCGGGCCCACGGCCCCATCCCACCCTGTGATGCGGGGACGGCTGTGTGGGCGGTGGGAGGACGCACAGGGACGCGGGGGGGGGCGCCCGCGGCAGGGAGAGGACCAGGCCTTCCGCAGGCGGCCCGGGCGCTCTCCGAAGCCAGCGGTGGGAATGGGACCCTGGCGGCCAGACGGTGCCTCCCCCACCCCGCCCCCACCCCACAGGGCCCCCCGCGGGCCAGCTCTCGTTTCCTCTGGGCGACAGCCGTGCAGAGAGGACAGCCCAGGCCTGGCTCTGGGGTGGCTGCGGCGCGGTGACAAGGGTCTGCCCCGCCACGGGCCTTCCCCTTCAATCCCAAGAGAGACGCCATGGCTGCCCCCCTGCTACTTCCTGACTTGGTGCTGGCTGCGGCGGCCTCAGCCTCGCGCGGGAGGCCGGGCGGGCGGCCGGGCGGGGTGCTGACAGGAGCCAGCCGCCCCTCCTTCCAGGCCCAGGGCGGGATGACCTCCCTCCCCCTTTGAAAGGGGGCACGGCCACACGACCTGCTCTGGCCGAGACCACGCCGGGCGCGGAGGCGGGCGTCACTCCCCAGGGGAGGCTTAGAGCTGGGGTGCGGCACCCCGCCGCCGCTTCCTCCCCGTCTCGGCGACCTGGTGACCTGGCCGGAGATGGACTTCCTGGGGCCGGGTCACCGAAGGAGGGTGTTGACCGGAGTCCCACCCCAGCCCTGTGCCTGGAGATAAAACACGAGCCACACAAATCTCTGTCACTTGAAGACACCCACCTAGAGGAGGCTCGCTCCTGCAGCCAAGCCTCCGCTGGGTCCCACCGCAAACGGTGTGATCGCAGCCCGCGGTGCTTCGGCGTGCCCGTGCGCCCCTTCTCTGGGGGGGTGTCTGCTGTATGAGGCATTCCTCTGTGTGTGTCGCGTTACCTTTGAAAACGCTCTGTGGTGTGTGCGCACACGTGGGAACTGCGTGTGGAGCCGCGTGTGTGGGGCACTCCAGTCCACGCACAGCACGTATGTGAGGTTTCTGTGGGCCTGCGTGCTGTTTCTGGGTGGGTGAGCTGCCTCTCCAGCGTTACAGGAATTTCGGGCAAAACCAGCGGGTGACAAGGTGGTTTCCCCTGGACGCAGGCGGGACGGGGCGGGAGGGGGGCGGCCGCAGGTGCCAAGGGAGGCCCCGCCCCCGCCCCGCCCTTCACGAGGGCCCTCGCAGCTGCAGCAGGCCCTGGGTTGGGGCGTGAGAAGCGGGTCACAGCCATGGTGCCCCGCCGGGGGGGCCCGTCTCTAGACCCCTGGTGGCGCCCCTTCCTCAGAATCGGGGCCCGACCCGGCACCCCCTGCCTTCGCGTTTCTGACTTTGCCGGGCACGGAAGGAGGCTCCCAGATCCCAGACCTAGGCCCCGGCTGCGCGTAGCCCCGGACCCAGCCATGCAAGCCGCACGGGCCACCAGCCACAGACCCTGAGCTCCGTCGAACATCACTGCAAGTCGGCAGCGGGGAGACAGGGTCCCCAAGACGGGATGGACTTGCCACAGAAACACCACACACAGGAGCCTTTGGGCGCTGCCCCAGGCTCAGCGGCTTCACTCAGCTCCCCTGAAAACACGGCTGCCCCGCACGCCGGCTGGACAGGAGGGCGGCCGCCGGCTCCGGGCCCACACGCCGGCTCCGGGCCCACACACCAGGCCCGGCCCCCCTGGGCGCTGAGTCCAGGGCCCCAGCAGCCCAGCGCGCCCGAGCCCCTCCGTGCTGGGGCCCAGCCCGCACCCCGGGCGCCACGGGCGCGGGCACTGACCTGCAGCTCCGTCTGGAAGAAGAACTTCTGCGGGCACTGCGCGCAGTCGTAGATCTTGTCCTCCTGCCCGTGCACCGCGAAGATGTGCTGCTGCAGCTTGTTGGCCTGGACGAAGACTGGAGACGGACACGCGTCAGGCAGGGCCTGGGGACCCGGCACAGGCGCCCGAGAGCTGCCTGCGCCCCTCACATGCAGGGGCCGCCCGGCACGGGCACGGCCGACCGGCCAGCCAGCCCGCGGGCTCCTGAGGGCAGCGGGGGCTTGGACCAGGGAGGCGGGGCTCGGCCACCGACAGGCTGTGCAACGCCGGGCAAGTCGCTGAACCCCTCGCGCTTCACGTCCTCGTCTGCAAGATGGGGACCTGTCACTCCCTCGTGGCTGGAAGGATCACAGGGGCTCACTGGAAAAATGCTTCAACGACGGCCTGGTGCATAATTAGCCCAACAACTCGTCATCTGCCAGGTGCCACCTTCCACCAGCACAGGCCTGGGAGGAGGGCACGGTTGCTGTCCCCATTTTACAGAAGAGGAAACAGAGGCACAGGGCATATGAAGGGACTTGCCCCAGGCCCTGCTGCTGGCAGGCGGCGGAGCCGAGATTTGAGTTCAAGGCGCTTTGTGCAGTGTCTGGTGCAGGAAGGTGCTCGGCACACGGGCACCGTTGTGCTTGCTGTCACGGCTGCTGCCTGCGCCCTCGGGTCCCCTCACAGGGGCCCCGGGCCCCGGATCAGCAGACCCAGGCCCACTCGGCCCACGGAGAGTGATGGTGGCAGACGTGCGGGGCTCCGGGGATTGAGCGGGGACAAGGCCCTGGGGGGGTGAGTGTGCGGGACGCTCCCCACAGCGGACCCCCTTCCGCCGGCCTGTCACCGAGCAGGTCGCAGCCCCGGTGGCAGGGTCCCAGGCCCCAGGCGCACGCAGGAGGCGGCTCTGAAGCAGCTGCGTGTCTGGGAGGTGAGCACTTCTGAGATTCGCCCCCCGCTGGGCACCCTCCCCGGGGTGGGCTTCCTGCCGTGGCAGACGGCAGATGTTGGGGGCGGCAGGGGACGGCCAGGCTCCCCTGCACGCACCGGCTGCCATCTGGGCAGGAGGAGGGGGGCCAGCAGAGGCCCTGAGACCGGCCGTGGGCTGGGACGGCCGCTTGCCTGGGCTGGCAGCCAGTCTGGGGGCCGGGGGCTTGGCCGGCAGAGCAGCCCCTGACCCCCAGCCTGGAGCACGGACGGACGAAACACGGGCTGGAATGGGCGAAGGGGGTCGGTGCCAGGAGGGGTGTAAAGGGAGAGCCCACTGGAGCTGGACCGAGATGGAGGCTCGGGGGGCGAGCCTGGAGCCCCTACCCCCAAAACGTGGGCGAGGCTGGGCCAGCAGGGGGCTCTGGCAGCTGCGGGAGGGAGGGGGGCCCAGGAGAGGGGGCCCCCTCCTGCCTGGGAGGAGGCCAGAGAGCATGGGACAGGGACACGCACCAGGGAGGTGGGTGGGGCCGTGGGGCTGGGGACCCCCGGGGCCTCCCCATGAGCCCAGCAATTCGAGGGCAGGGCTCCTGCCCCCCTCCCCCCATGGCCCCCCAGACCCCTTACCTGTGAAGCACACGGGGCATTTGAAGGTGCCGCCCATGCCCTCGAAGCTGTGCTCGATGAGGTGGCAGAGCAGCTTGGCCGGGGAGTCAAACATCTGGTTGCACAGCTTACACTCGTGGTTGATGCCTTCCTCTGCAAGGGACCGCGGCAGTCGGTCAGGCGGCACGCACGGCCCCCGCACGCCCAGGCTGGTCCCACCCCAGTCCCAGAACCAGGGCTGGTGGGGGGCGTGGGGCTGAGGCCGGTCCCGGCTCCAGGTCGTCCAGCCACCCCCAGGCTTCCAGACCCCAGGGGCCGCCCCATGGAGCCAGCACGTGAGGGCGTCCCTGTCTGTGATTTGTCCCGCTGGTCCAGGGACAGGCCACGCCCCCCAGCCTGCCCCCATGACCCCTGGGACCGGGTCCCAGGATGGGGTCAGCATGGGGGAGGGAGTCCAAAGAGGACTTGAAGACAATCCAACAGAGCATTTACTGAGTGCGTACTACGTGCCAGCCCTTTGAGCTGGGCATTCTGGGTGGAAACGAAACAGAGAACACGCTTCCCCCCATCCCAGGAAAACAGTAACAGACAAAAATGATCCACACGTCCCAGTGTCAGGAGCTGCCGAGGGCACAGAGCCCCGGGGCGCGCACCGCAGAGGGCCTTTGGCGGCTAGAGGGCTTCAGGGTTCTACTCTGGGAGGGGCGGGCAGCCACTGGAAGGTATCACAAGAAATGATAAAGTGCTCTTTTTTAAGTATTTTTAGCAGGCGGCTACCCAGTGGCTCACAGGCACGGGGCAGTCACCCTGTCCTGCTTCCAGATCAGAACCCGGTGCCACCACCCTCCCACCTGGGAGCTGCGGTGACTTCGGACGCTCCCTCAAAGGCTCCCAGGGAACCCAGCGGGCCCAGGCACCAGCGTCACCCCGGCATTGGGAACCGAGGTCTTGTGCCCCCGCCCGGAATTAGCGGGGCAGAGTTCAAGTCCTGTCTTCTCCCAACGGCAAGGCCGGAGCGTCGGCTCACTCTGGTAAATAAGGGCTACCTGAGTGGCTCCTCCATCCTCACGGGGCTGAGAGGATGAAGGGGCTGGCAGCAGTGACCGGGGGGGGGGCCCCGCGGTCAGTTGGCGGTGGCAGAGAATCGTCATCCAGGGCTGGAGCCTGGCTCTGCCACTGACTGCACGATCCTGGGGAAGTTTGGAAAGCTCTCTGTGACTCAGTTTTCTTCTTTCTAGAAGACTCATCAGGAGCCTTCCTCACTGCTGCACACCTATCAGAACGGCCCAAACCCAGGGCACAGACACCAGCGCTGGTGAGGACACGGGGCAGCAGCACCCCCCGTCCATCGCTGGGGGGCGCCACATGGGGCCGCCCCTCTGGGCGGCAGGTCGGCGGCTTCTTACAGAATAAACGTACTCGTACCGTACGATCCAGCAACCGTGTTTCTTTGTATTTCCCTGAATGAGCTGGAAACATTATGTTCACCAAAAATACCTGCACACAGATGTTTTTAAAAAATTTACTCCTAACTACCAAACTTTGGAAGCAACAGGGATATCCTTTAGGGCAGTGAAAAACTAAACAAACCGCGCAACATCCAGACAACAAATGTGACTCAGTGCTGCAAGGAAATAAGCTATCGAGCCATGAGGAGACCCGGAGGGACTTTAAATGCATGTCGCTAAGCGAGGGAAGCCCGTCTGAACTGTAGGACTCCAGCTCTACGGCGTCCTGGGGAAGGCAAAACTCTGGAGACAGTAAAGACTCAGTGGGTGCTGGTTGGGTGAGGGAGAGGGGTGGACAGCTGAGCACAAAGGAGTCCAGGGCGGCGAGACCGTTCTGTGTACCGTAATGGGGGTCCGTGTGTCCAAACCTGTAGACCGCAGGCCCCAAGGCAAACGAAGGGCTCGGGGCGACCATGATGTCTCATCGTAGGTCCACCTTTGCAAACAACAGAAACTCCCACCGCGGCGAGTGGCGCCGGTCATGGGGGAGGCTGTGCACGTGTGGAAATCTCCGAAGCTTCCTCCTATTTCTTGTAAAACTGCTCTCAAAAAATAAAGTCTTTTTTGAAAAACTCACCCCCTCCCCACCAAAATAGCCTTGCTCTCGTAGTGGACGTGAGGCTTAAGTCAGTTAATAATATCAATAATTACGAAGAAGAGGAGGGGTTTGGACCACCCGGGCACGCCGCAAGCGCGCAGTGAGTGAGTGTGGCTGGTCAGAACATTATCTGGGACGGCCAAGGACACGGGCCCCCGGGCTTCCCCAGGGAACCGGCGTCACCAAAGGCGCCAGGTGCTCTGACTTGCCCTCGAAGGCAGGAATTAGGTAGCAGAGGGCTCTGCCAGTGGCAAGGCACCAACACAGATGGGCTGAGGCTCCTGGCCAGTCCCCGGGTCCCCAGGCCCTGGCAGGGGCCGGCAGAGACAGCAGGCATCCCCCCCGCCCAGCACCCCCGCCCTGGCCCGGGCGCCCTGCTGCGGAGGCGCGCGCCCACGTGCACGTGCTGGGGGGCTGCCCCACATAGCCCACTGGCTGGGATCTGCCGGGTGTCTGTCCTGCCCCTGGGGCCCCGGCAACTAGGCCACACGCACCCGGCAGAGCGTCAGGCAGCTCCTCCGCTTGTGCCAGCGGAGAAGGAGCTCATTGACAAGTTTGGGGACACGGAGCGGGCTCAGCACGCTTGCCGCACAGGCCCCGCACACGTTCTCCTCTTCCCCCGGGGGGCTGTCGTCATAATTAGAGGTGGCCTCCAGTGTGGGGGCTGCCTCGGAGACCCCCCAACACACCGCCTGCCCCACAAACAATGCTCCGCGGTGCTGGGTGGAGCGCAGGTTCAAGGAGTGAATGAACCCACAAACGAAAGAACAAACAAGAGACAGCACCCTCGCATACAGCCTCCCTCTTAGAACGAGGACACCTCTGGGACACCAATGAGGCAGAGGGTGTGCGACAAATGACAATTGTATGGAGGTTTCTATGACCGTTTATAACATAGGCTGAATCTCAGAATTAAGCTGGGAAACCCACATTTCTAGAGAAGGAAAACACTTTTCTCGGAGAATTAGGCCACTTGCTGAGTTAGCACAGCCAGCTGGGGGCGGTGCTCGGAAGCCCTCCCCACCCGTGTGACTCCCCCCCCACCCCGCACACCGCCTCCAGGCAGCCTTCCCTGACTGGGCAGGGAGACCTGGATTCTTCTGCCTACGTCCTCAGAGTCTTTCTGATCCCGGCAACCGGGCTACAGGCCCAGATGCTGTCTCCTCCTCCTCAGGCCCCAAAACACCAAGTCCCGCCTGGGCCCGCAAGACGTGCTCCTGAAATACTCGTGGGGGAGGAGTGGAGCCCCTCGCGGGCCCTGTCCCCCTGCCCGCCTGGGCCGCCCGCCCCCACCCGGGCTGAGATGGCGGAGGAGGATTTACGGCTCTCTGCGGAGCGGGGGCCTTTATCCGCTCGGCCGTGAATGGAGACCTGCTCGTCTGACACACAAACACAGAGAGGACAAAGGCGGCTCCTGCCACTTCTGAATCGGAGAGATCAGGGCTGACAGTCACTCTCCGTTCTCCGCGCGATTCATCGGCGGGTCCCCGATTCACAGGCACAGCTACGCCCTGCGCCCCCCGTTCATAAACATGTGCACAGTCAGGCCGCGGGTTCTGGGGCGGGCAGCCGCCACTTCGACGAATCACAGCCTCGCACCAGCGGGTGGGTGGGCGAGGTTCCCGGCTAATTAGATGAAGGGCCTGCCAGACCACCCTGCTCGGTGCCGCTGGTCCCTTACCTCTGCCCCCCCAGGTTAAACCGGGGAGGGGGGAACAAAACCGGCACAATGTCAATGTGAGGCGCACATGCTAATGCCTGAGGGGTGCCCACAGGCTTGGGGCTCGCTCCCCCTGCCGGCAAGGCCTTCTGACTTGCAAATCTTTCTGATGGAGGGTGAGGCCCTGCCCCCCGCCCAGAGGGGGTTGGAGGTGCTCTCTGGGGTGTGTTTTGTGCACCTCTGCCCGTAAAACCACCTGAGAAGCCGGGGGCGGGGGGAGGTGTTGCCCTAGTTAAGAATGCGCTGCTCCTGTGGGCACCTGTGAGCCAGGTGAGCCAGCCCCTGGGTGCTGTGAGTTAAGGCGCGCGACCGCATCCTCTCCTTTCTGTTCCCTTGTCATTTTTTTTTAATAGCACATGACAGGCACCCGTGGGCGGGACTCCCACAACTCAGGTGGATTACGCAGCCCAGCTCATTTGCAAAGTGAAATGCAGATTTCTCCAGCTCCCTGGGCCCCGGCTCACCGCCCGGGCCCCCCCGGAAGTCGGGGCTGGCCCTGGGGAGCCTATTGATTTATTACGATTTCTAAAAAATAAATTAAAAAATTAAAAAAACAAAAAGCAAAACCCAACCGGCCAAAGAAACAGCTTGAAAATCCCTGAGTCTGTCTGTCTCTCTCTTTCTCTCTGTCTCTGTCTCTCTCTCAACTCGGCTCAGGAATAATAAGTGTTAATTTTACACTTCATTTCTCAAAAAAATAAAAAAGAAAATAAAGTAATAGGATGTGCTTTTGCTGAAAACCAAGTCAGCCTGCTGGAACCTTTCCGGCTGAAACTGTGTCAGCCCAAAGAGGAGCCGAGGGCTTTGTGGGACAGCACCGTGCCGAGATGACAGCTCCCTGGGACGTCCTCGGTCCCGACTTTTGTCTCCGAAAGCATTTGATCCCTGGCAGACACACACTTATTTCCATACAGGTCTTGGGGGAAGCCGGGAGGAGGGAGAGCTGATTATCAGGATCCTGAAGGTGCCGCTCAGGTGGGCTCTGCTGATGTCAAAGGCAGGCCCAGGCACACACACTCGGAGGCCCTAATTTGCTGCCTGGGAGGGAGGGGAGCGGGCACGGCATTGTTCCGGAGCGCGGACGCTCCGGGGGACCGGCCACCACGGCACCCACGGGCCCTGCTGGCCCCTCTCGGGGAGGGCTGGCCGGGAGTGGCGTCACGCGTGCGTCCCCCTTGTAGCAGAGAAATCGGTGACGGCCGCCTGGGTCGACAGGGGCCGACGTGGCCTCCTCCACTCAGGGGAGCAGCAATTAAGGGCACAAACACGAGGGCCAGGAGCCCTGGGCTCCCTCCCGCCCTCGCTGTGTGTGCTCGAGGAAGTTACT